TATTTCTTTCTTGATTTGTTGGGTAACAATGTATAACAGCATTTGCTGCTATTTCTATTTACGAATCAGTAATACATTTTCTCTCATGTAGAAAAGTATATACCAAGCGTGTTTCAATTGCTCTCCTTATTGAGAATAGGGTCGCCAATTAGGGGAAAAATTTGAATACTAAATGAAAACATAGAACGTAATTTCACATTAAATCTAACAGATTTTACAAAGTAGATAAAAAGTTGTACGATATTCGTGTCGTAACATCTGATTACAATACGCAATCGGTTACCAAACTCGCCCTAACGGCCTCGTTTGGCAACTTTCCAGACTCGTATTGTAATCAAACGCTTTACGACACATCGTTAAATAACCATTATAACACATTGCCAGGTAACTTTAACCGATTAAATTCGATATAAAAGTTTAAGTGCCAAGTAAAATCTTCTCCGCCGCGGAACTGTTTCTATATAATTAGACTGTAGAAAGCATGAAAAAGAAAAGTAATATTATTTTAACAATGACATCGTCTCCTGTATTATTTCATTGGTATACATACCTTTTGCAGCTGTCACACACAGCTAATCTTCATAAATGAGATCTCTAAAGAAAGGAAAAAAATAATTTCACGGAAATGTGATGAATTGCACTTCGACTGTAAAAATATGACAGAATTGTTTTAAAACGCATACAAATATATCAAATGCAACCTGCGGCACTCAGCAGCTATATCGTTAAATAACTCCTACATGATTCGTTCTAGGTCCTTAAAAATTAAGACCTCAATGAAATGAGATATTCTTGGACATTCTATTAAATTTTTGCTGTTTCGGCACTTATCGATACTACCAATGCCACCTTTATTTGACCCCTTGGTGATGGTTCTTTGTGACATCGTGCTTAGAAGGTTTAGAATTCTCTTCTTACACTATTAAGCTATTACTGCTTTCAGTGTGCACCGTGGTTTGCGCAGACTGACGATGTTTACTTGCATTATTAATTCAATATTCGCTCTTGCTGCAATTAGAAGTACTATTACCTAGCAAAATGTGGCGTCGCCGACGCTGTGAACTGTTTTAAAAATAGTTTCATGTGTTGAAAATTTATTTCATACTTCATTTCTTTCATGCACAGCATTGGTTAAATATTTTATTTCAGTATCTGGCATTGGATTTACCAATGAATCGTAGTAGCTGATAAAGTTATACTCCCGTTCCCAATACCCAATGGCCTTGTGTATTACCTCAATACTGAATATGAAATGGTCTTATTGCAATTTAAAAATTATAATCTCCGTAACAAATATTGGTAAATTTCAATCCTGATAGTTAAATTTTAGTACAGCTACAGTTTTACGCTTTTTTGGTAATATGCACGAAAATGCACATAGCATATTTGCATTAGCCCAAATGCTAAATGCAAAAATGCAGATCATTCCCAATTAGTTCTGAAAATTCTGTCGCAGTATATTTTACAACTATATTTGATTCTTTCCAGGATTTCTCGTCCATATTTTTCTCCTTTAATGTTCGAAGAGATTAAAACTTCACAAACCCAGTCTAATGTGTGTTAACGTCTACTTCTGCAATTGGTCTATTAATAGTTTTATATGCAGATCTAGCGTTGTATGCAAATCTAACATTAAAAGGTGACTTTTGTATGTTTATTTGAATAAGGGGTTAGTTAATTTGAATAAGAATAATTTGTGGGTCACATTCATTTGAAAATCTATATTTGCAGACTAATGTAAGAACATAAAAGTTAGAAGTCGAACATTCATTTAGAGTCGAATATTCATTCATTCATTACCATTACTCACAGTTTTGGTTTCTCCATATTAACTTGAAATTCAAGTTCAGTAATTACGAGACAATACTGTTCGTAGGTACTTGCAAATTTATTTTTTAAATACAATAATAATTCGACTCTAAATTGAAATCAAACAGAAGCGTGATTTACTTGGTATTTCAATTGTTCACTTAAAGATGTCAACATCGGTGTTGCCAACGTCCTGAAAGAAAATGAGAGCGTATTAAGCCAAAAATGCCTTTGGGCTCTGGTATTTTATCAACGCATCGATTTAGGAAGCGTTGGTTTAATTTCTGGCATTATCACCAAAATCGCAGCTCCAAAACACGAAAAATTTCGTTTAAATCTTCCAGCAGGATCCGGCAACTAATTATCCCTAAAAGCAGATCGAGACCCGTCGAATGACTCCTCATACGTCTCGATTGGTGCACGGGAAGTGGTCTACATGCTAGTGATTGAATGGCAAAAACATGTCTGCACATCTAAGCGTCCGCACACTCAAGGGTTTTACTGAAGTATCCTGTATAGTGATAGTTGCTTGATTCTGATGAAGATTGTTTCTTATGTGTCTAGTGAAAACATTCAGTTAACGTTTTGCTGATATCTATAAGTGCTGTTTACATAATTGTGGAGGGATGTGGGTGTACAGTGAAGAGTGAAGACTTGTCTTGTTAGATTTGGTTCATGTTTTACCTGAAGCAGTATTTTCATTATCAGCAGTGATTCAGTGAAACTTTCAAGTCAGCGAGTTCAGTGACGTAGCTTTTTCAGGAGTAAAAAGTTTTTTAATGTTTTTGTGATCATCGCGAAAAGCTAAAAGCTATCAAAGAAAATTGAATAATTACTTCAAATATTTTTAAGGAAGTGTTGTGAAATGTTGCAAGTAATATCTCGATAATACTGAATAAATCTTTTGTAAAAACTTCTTTTCAACATAAATTGCATTGGTTATTATTTTGGGTATTGTGTTAGTACATTGGAAGTTACCTTTATCCGGTTTTGAACAAATATATACGTTTCGTTAACAATTTTACCTCTTAGAATGAAAATAGAAGGGTAGGAAAGTATGGGGTTTAACATAAGAGAGGTCTCGTACCAGTACTTTAGTTGAATGTATAAATTACCATTTGAACTATAAAATTCTAAACAACATGTAACAAGAATTAAATCACAGTTTTTGGATCAATGACCCCCGTCTCGATCAGGTTTTTTGTCGTTTCCCTGATTTTTTAAGCAAATGCTGGGTTGACCTTTTGCTTTACTTATGAACATAAATGGAACTGGTCATATCTGAACATATCTGGACATTCTGGATAAATCTGTGCACGTCTTCTAGTGTTCTTTATGAATTAAAGGTATTCCAATTATCGTTTTCCATGTTGTCGCTGTCAGAAGTGCAGTTGACTACAGTTGTAGAGAACGCGGATGTAGAGAACTTAAGGCAGTGCTCTCGTTTCACTTACATTACAAATACGTGTAAGAAGTAGTGAACCTAAATCTCGGCTATAGTAAACGTAGGAAATCCGTTCTGGAAATTATGTATCATCCTCAAGAGAAGAATATATCATCCTCAGTACCGCAAATTCCAACACTAGGCAGCTTAAAAAAAAACAGGCAACCGTCGGCCAATCAATCGTGGTGATAATAGAAGCCTCCCCTGAGGCGTAGTCAGCGGAACCGGACCTTTCTGATAACCTTCTGCCTCTCAGTTTTACTGCGGAAACAAACGCCGTGTCCTGCGTGGGGACTGGCGGCAGCACACGCGATTGCATGCTACAATTTTAATCTGGGTGTAATTGATATTCCGCGGGACAAAGCGCGTCGAGTTCTACGTAGGTGATAGGACGCGTCCGTCTGCCTGGAGATACCCTCCGCGCCGCCCGAAAAAGTTTCATTAGCCACTGGCGTCATCCCGATATCGATAATAAATCTTGTATGTTTTTAGGCGAAAAAAATAAGCCATCGAAGAGTGGGACGGTGTTCCAACAGTGCAAGAGGCTTTCGAGAGTGTGAAGTCAACATTATGATTCTTAGAGACAGAAGCAAATGCAGAATCAAGAACGGAGAAAGCACGAACTCTGGAGAAGGATCTAGGGAAATTTCTAATGAAAAATGTACGAAGCAAACAATTGAAAATATTTGTTTTTTAAGGATTAGTATAGTTAATGAAATTCCCCATTCGTGCTGTTACTGTATACTTAATCTCTATATTAATAAAATCAATCATTGGGGGAGAAACTGTGAACTAAAAATGTTAGTCTCATAAGTTCTCTATAACTGGAGTGAACTATATATCATTCACAAAGAACACGATGATGGATAAGAGCCCAAATCTATTCCTGGTTTGCCCTTGAAAATATTTTTTATGACAGAGGATTTTTTATCAATTATCGCCAAAAAATGCTCATAGTTCTAGATTTATTAACAGTACTAGAGCAAAAAATGTTATTTTTATTTCATGAGGATCTATGCTACACTATACTAATTTTTCTTTTACGGGTTTTTTATGGGTCTTTACATTTTAGTAGATATGAAGACGGGCCCCTAAAGATCTTTTATTTACCATTTTCCTACTCTGAGACATGTTATAACACTTTATTATTTGTAGAATGTATGAAATTTTAATAATTTATTTGTCTATTTCTTTACTTAAATGGTTTTAAAATTGAACAAATGAACATAGCATAAACAGTTTTTATTTTATTTTGTGTTATGTAAGATCGCATCAACTTCTAGGTCACGTGCGACCACTATTGCATGTAACGATGTGATAACTGTGAGGATGAAACGATTTGATGGTGATGGGGGTGAAAGGACGTACACAATACAACCACACATCAGGCGGGACTTGAACCCGCGAACCTTCGGTTCAAGATCGCTACAGCACTGCTGCCTTAGCAATCTCGGCTAACCGGTTCGGCATTAACACTTCTCTTTGCATTTAAATAGGTAAACAGAAGATATAATATTAAAATAACGATAATATGTTAAAAATGCATAAAAACAAACACATTGCTCAATTGAAAATTTAATAATCACATGTTCAAACTTGGGATAAACTGGTATTCCTAGATACTTACTTTATCTCAGCATCAGCCAGTCACCGACAATCTGTGCCGGAAAACCTCTAATGTGGTTTCGGATATGCGGTGTCGTTTATCGTCTAGTATATAAATGGAATACACACATTATCTAAGCACAGGCTCGGTAGACTACACTGGTGACTAGCTCCACATATCACTACAACATATGTGATTATGGGGCCCAAAACGGTACGTCTTACGATCTAATTCTTTAGTTTATTTATTTATTTACGTCAAAAATAGTTAAAAACTGTTTGTGACGTGCTATGGAAAGAAGTTAATTTGAAGTTACATTTATGTCCAGAAGCAAAACAAGAGGCCATCTCAGCATTTACTCTTGGGACTTAAACTTTTGTATCGAATTTAATCCTTTAATGTCATCTTGCAAGGTGTTGTATAATAATGTATATGTATTATAACCGGGACACATTCCACAACACGTAGTAATTATCGGAGAAAACATTTTTTAAGCATAAGATGGTAGGTACAAGTATCTGAGAAAGTGTTACAAACGACTAGGCTATGAGGTTTACCCCTAATTTGCAGTTTCCTCATAATGCATTAGTATGGGGCAAGTGACTTTCTGATCAAATACAATATTTCGTGTACCCTCCGAACTGCAATATTTCTACTTTTAATGTTACTCTGCGAGGAATTAAGGATTCCCATTTTAAAAGTAAACACAATTATAGATCGTAAATTGAACTACACTATAACTGCTGATACAGTTTATTTTCTAACCTCCTCAATTACTTTTTTGAATTTCATCTCCAATTTTGTAAGTTAAGAAGAAATCTTGAACAGAAAAGATCATTTTTCTTCCAATGGGTCCAATCTTTAGTTACAGTTCCAAATATTGTGAAATGGAGGGAACACGTTAAGCGATATTTGATATGTGCCATCAGACTAGTTTTGGATTTAAAAATTTTCCCAAATTACAAAGTGTTTAAAAAATAATTATACGTTTTACAGGTCGTTTTATTTGGTAAAAATAATCATTTACGAGAAAATATTCATCTCTACTTTTTAATATATCTCCGGTAATTCCGTTAGATAAATAAACTAGAGTTAGGTGTGCTTAACTCTCGACGTAATTAAATTTTGAGACATTCTCTTTCAAAACGTTTGTTACTCCTGGTTTTCTATACATTTTAATTGCCAATACAAAACATCAGTTTATAAATTTTACATTGTGAAGTGACAAACAATCTATATGATAATTATCATAATACTACTAGAAATATATATGCAGAGTTGGGCAGTATTTAAATACTAGTATTTGTAATATGTATTTTAAATACTTTTGTATTTGAAATGAGTTTTGGTCAGGTATTTTGGATATATATTTAAATATATAAAATAAGTGTATTTAAAAAAGATATTCTTAAATTACTTTAAAAACAGACGAAGAAAAAGATAACGAGAATAGTTTATTTTTGATTCTGCAAGTGAATGCTACTCGTACTTATTGAAACAAAATTAAAAGATCCTTCCAACAGTTGAATTTGAATTAGAATTCTCTTCATTTTTATTTGATAAATCAAAATCATTTTAAGTGTTGGACAATTATCCGTCATTAAAAAAGCATTTATTAGATATTGAACTTATTTATGTTAATAGGCGCTATTTAAACACTGTTTTCCTTTGCGGCTTTTGTACTTCGCTAACTAGAGGTTTGTCAGCTGTGATTTCTGTGAAAAATTAATGGTTTAAAAAAGTCCGTTGAGTTAGACATATTTTTGAGATTCATTTGTATTTGAAAGTGTAGTCTGAAATATAATTAAACTCAGTTATTGTTCATAAATTTTCATGACGATCAATTATTATTTATTGTAATTGACAGTTACTGTATACTAGTTGAATAGTGTGGCTCAAATGTTTTAAAAGTATTTTCATGTGTTGAAAATGTCTTTCATCCTTCATTTCTTTCATGCCTAGCTTCGTTCGAATATGGTCTTACAGTAACTGGTGTTGGACTTACCAGTGTATTGTCGGAGCTTACAATGTTATACTCCCTTCAAAAATTCTCGATATCCAATGACCTTGTATTTTACCTCCATATGAACTTGTAATAGTGCAATTTCAAAATTAGAATCGTCGTAAAGAATACTTCAATACTCCATGCATGGTGCGAATAGTAAGAGCTTAGTTCACCTCCTATTGTTTACGATTTTTTCTAATATGCCCAATAATTCCCAAAGATTACCCGAAGCTGTTCTTCTGGGTTATTCTCTAATACTAATATAAGATCATTCTGATTCTTCCCAGTATATTCTTAACACCTATTTTTCTCCAATAATTTTTGAAGACATTAAAACTCCACAAACTCAGTCTAATATGTTCACTTCCACTTCTGCAATTACTCTATTTATTGTTTTATTTGAATAAGATGTTAGTTAAGCTTAATAAGAAAAATTGTGGGTAACATTCATTTGCTCCGGTATTTATTCACTTAAAAATGTGAAAGTGAGAAGTTGAAGTAAGAACGTTTTTTGATTATGTAACATTACTCATAGTTTCGATTTGTTTACACTCACTTTAAATTTTTCAAATTTAATAAGTTCCAAGGCAAAACTGTTCGTAGGATTTTGCAAATTTATTTTTAAAATATGGTAATAGGGCTACCGAAAAAATTAAAATAAAATATGCCACCTCATTTACTTATTCAAATTACCTTCACTCGTTCATTTAAATATATCAACATCAGCGTTGCCAACTTCGTGAAGAAAATTATGGCATATTGAGCGAAAAATACCTTTGGAGTATAATAAACGCCTCCTACATACATCTATTTAGGTGGTATTAGTTTAATTCTCCGTCTATTCACTAATATCGCAGTGTCAAAACGTGCAAAAGCGCGTTTTTAAAATTTTCTTGGAATATTCTGACTGGATCCAAAAACAAATTATCAGTTCCGTATCAGGAGACTCAGATGCGTCGAGTGGCACCTCACATGTGTCGATTGGTGCCCAGGAAGTGGTCTAGTCGTGAGTGACCAAACCGCACATCCGCACACTCGAGGTTTCTCAAATACAGTACAGGGATTGTTGCAATAAAAAAGATATAATACAATTGTATTTATCGTATTTTCTGCTTCAATTTAATTTGGCTTGATGTGTGTAAGTACTCCCCTCCTTCTTGCCACATGTATCGTAGCCAATGCAATGAATTCTTGCAGTTGCTGAACATTCACCTTTTTATGCTGCAAGGCACTCGATTTTCTCCAAAAATGATATTTTCAATTGATCTGAACGAACTGAAAACCCTGTGAGTTTGAAACAAATGTTTTGATTTTTGAACGAGCCTTAACTATACTCGCAAAGTTTTCTAAAAATAGCACCGAATTTTTTAATAAATTTTTTCCTCGGGTAGCTCAAAGGACGCTAAAAGCGAATACGGAGCGCTCAGTTTCCTGAACTCTGAATTTTCGATAATTTCAAAAGTTTCAAAATTTGTCGGCGTCTTCTTACATTTACAATATTGAACATGGAGATCTTATTTCAGAACTATATTTTTCTTCAAAGACAGATCTTTAAATAAGGTCATGTACAATTTTTCAAAAGAGTAGTTTTAGGTAATCTCTGATTCACGTTAAAGCAATGAATAAATAAAATTATCTCAAAAAAGGCTCCAGTTTTTTAAACTTTTAGCTCGTGTAGATCATAGGTCGCTTAAAAAATAGCGCAGGTTCTGTTTTATTTGAAATCTCCGAATGTTCTAAAATTGAAAAGGTAACAAATAATACAAGAACGTATATGGTATTGTAACACCGCTAGTTTACTTCATGTTTTTCGCCACAAAATACAGTCTTTGGACCATGTGAACAAAATGTGATTGCCTCTCACCTTTTTAGGCTGGGCAGACGCCAGTATTAACGGCAGTTGTTTTGGGAGTAGCAGTAAGTGCTCTCTGTGCTTGCGCCCAACAACAACGTTCACAAACAACGGAATTGGACCACACAGCCGAACATAAAGAATCTGAACTCTGGAATATTCTGGTATGAAATAACATTTAGAAATTTTCCTTAAAAATGATCAGAAGTACAAAAAACTTAATTTAGTTAATATTTATGATCAAAATATTTAAAAAGAAAAATATTTTTTCTAGTACTTAGGGTTGTTTACCTTATATAAGGCTAAACGAAACGATTTGTACGTATTTTGTAGGTCAGAAACGCTAAGGGGCATTTAGAAGAGAAGTCTAGGGCTGAAACCAATGGACAGATAACGCAAAGAGAACATCCCAACATTACGAAGCGTCTCGAAGTGGTTTTCGGTAAGAAAAGTATTCCTCTTGATGTCATAGTGAAGAAAATTTCTGAACTTTCTAGTAGAATAATGAAATGGAACTCGATTTATTCAGCACTATATTTTCTCCATTATACTTCTTTTTCATCTGAGAAATATACAGCTGGAAATAAACAATATATTAATGACTGTTGATGTTCTGAATATCTATACTCACATAAATAGTAAACTATACTTTACATAAGTAGTAAAGTAAAAATAAATTAAATAACGATTAATTATGAGCATTTTGTTTCCTGGTGCGTCAACTACTGTTGTCTTAAGTACCGTAAGTGTGGAGTGCTTTATCATGGAATGTGGAGGAGATTTATCGCGCGCTGGATAGCGAGATTCAGCGCCACTCCTACAGGTACCCTGCAGGGATTTCTCCAATCAATCATCTGTAACAATGGACAAGCTCTTAGCTCCTGACGGGTCTTCCGGCTTGTGTGGTAGTGCATGTCTGTGTGTAAGGGGTGAGGATAGGACAAGGAAGAGGTAGGTGAGATCCCGCGCGGTTCGTTGCCCGTTTGTTAGGGAACTGCTACAGCTTTATACTGGTGTTAATAAGAGAAACAACGGAAAACTACCGATTAGAGCACCAGGCCGCTATAATTCTCCTCCAGACAGCGACTGAACTCGACCCAGCTAAGAAGCTGGTGTCGAAAATCCTGCTACCGTCGGGACTAGACCCTCCCGGTCCGAGGGACTGCAGTGACATCAGTTGTTGCCCTGAGCTATCTCTCCCGGTCATATCGTAGCCTTGGAGGCGAATATTTCGGAAGTTTGCAACAATTCTGACAGCCGGAATTGAGGGAATTGTGGGACTATGGAAGGAACCAAATACTGTATATTATTGTAAATGGGGGAGAGGTATCTCCCCCCGGAAGCTGACATGTAGGAATTGCGCTGAATCTCGCCATCCAGAGGGGGAGGATCACAGCCATCTCCCGGGATAAAACATATTTCCTAACGGGAAAATTGGACACAGTAGTTGGCTTACCCGTACATACCAGTCAATCAAACAAGGAAGAAAAGTTCTGCCCTGTCAGAGTCCCCAACCCAACCGGGTTAGAAGCTGAGAAAAACAAACACCAGAAACGTCCAGAATGTTAGATTTCAGACATTCAGACGAACAATTTTTGAACAAAAATACTGAAGTAATGGGGCCATCCGGAGAGACTTGTTTCAGGATAATACAGTACCGCTCAATGCCTGAATATAATAAATTTGCTCAGTTTCTTCCAATAAAAAAGCAAACTTGAATATTACATAAAAATTACCGCAATTGATTTTAATACAAATAATTATTATAGGAAACTGCCTATGAATAATCAACTAAGAGTTAAAAATTGCAATTTATTTCTTGTAATTTGTTGTTGTATTTATATAAAATATGTTTCTGTTTATTAATTAAAATTCACAGCCACATCAAAAAATGTTGAAATTATGAAATGTTTTGAAAGCTTGGACTACAAAAATCAGTGAAATAAGTGCATTGTCAAAAACACCGATGTATTAAAATATATAAAAACTAACCCTGTCTCCTCTAGTAACAAATTAACTCCATTTTTCTTAACCTAGATGCCGAGACTTCTGAAGTGCTTGAGCCCAAATCTACAAGTTTTCACTCAGTGAACAAGAGATCAATCCCATTCGGTTACAGTCCAATAGCGGGACTGGGATACTACAAAGTAAGTAATAACTTCAAATTGAGTTTGTGTCTTACAGAGATTATTTGCTTTCACCGAGTCACACTTTTTTAACATAGAGAGTGAAAACATAAGTGAATGAAAACAAGATTTATGTTCTTGCTCTCACGCCATGATCTCATCTTTCTTTGACTTAATAACGTCCTAATAGCATTTTGTACTGAATAGTTCACCAAAGTGATCAAAGAGACTAACAACTTCATCTTGAACACTGCACCTTAAATGATTTAACCAAGGGGCAATAGCTTTATCTTGAAGCCCTGACATTTTATAATTCTCCTAAGGGAGGGTGATTTTGGAAATGACAAAGCCATCCTGAGTGCTGTGCATTTAGTGAAAAAATTACTTCTTATAGATGAAATGCGTGTGAAATTAACAAATTAAACGTACATTAATCTCTAAAATATACCTTGATTCAGTCCCCTCTGAAAATTAAATATTTAATAGAACATACTTCTACTTCTGTTCTAAATATGTACTGTGCTAACATAATATCAAATGTATAACAACTTTACATTGGCATCATTTATCATTGGCATTCCCTAATAAGACACATATTCATTTTTCACTTGTAAGTTTATCATTTACATTGATTCATAGAATGCATTTATTACACGCCTTGAAAATAAGGAATTTGTTTTACCTTACCATTGTGGAAGTTCATGTGTCACACGACGTCACATCCAGAGGACAATGTAAATGTCGCGAAACCGCGTCTCCTGCCGCGAAACTCTCTCTGGGATGAAACTCCCACACTGCTACATAAGTCTTCACTGACTTTAATGTGTAGTGATGTACACACTAACATCATCAAAACAATTAGCACATTCTCTATCATTTGCTACGAGCTCTCCCAACATTTTGCGGCGCGCACACACACACCACACACACACACACAGAAATAATGAATCACTGCGCTTGTCTCTGTTGTATAATTAACAACTTTTGTAGTACTGTCGCTTGTGTATATCTGCAATGGATTTCTTCTGTCTGTATCCCTCGGTTAGCAAAATACCTGGGAGTTGCTTGTTTTTCGTATTCATCCTTGTGAAAATTAAAAAAGGTCTCCGTGTCTTCTTTATCTGTCTCTCCACTGGCCGTCTCTTCTAGTCTCTCTCTATCCGTCTCTCTGTTTCTCTCTGTCTCTTTCTGGTCTTCGCCTCCATTCCGCTAGTTTGTCTATCTCTGTTATTTTGTTTCTCTCTGTCTTCTCTGGTCTCACTGTGTCTATTTATCTCTCTGCGTCTCTGACTCTTTCAGTCTCTGCTCGCCTCCTTTGCCTCCGTCCGCTTCTGTCTGCCTCTGTCTCTGTCACTTCTCCCTCCCTTTCTCTTTCTCTCTCTCTCTCTGTATCTCCATCACTCTTTGCATCTCTACGTCGCTCTCCGTCACTCTCTGTCTCTCTTCGTCTCTCTCCGTCTCCCTCTGTCTCACTGCCTCTTTACCTCTCGCGCGCGCCCGTCCGGTTCTCCTCGGCCGCGCCAAACGGCAACGCAACAATGAAGCCCGGGTGGAGCGCAATTTGAATGAAAATTGAATTAAAATAGGCGCAATTTTGTTCTGAATAGCCATCTAGAAAACCTACAACAAAATTAACGGCATATAAATCTCCTTGGTAAAAAACACGTACATGTGCCAACTTGTGTTACGTCCCAACATAAATACAGCTTATTGCATTGTTTTATGCCATGATACCCAGGGATCTCTTGAAGCACAATTATTTAGAATTAGTTCAACCACGTGCAAAAGCAGTGAGGATTTTAAAAGTGTATGTGCTAGTGAAATGAATTCGACGGCCCAGAATGACATCATCAGCGCGCCGCCTTTCTCGTTGAGCGGTCGCCTCCGAACAGCTGGTCTCGCGCGTACGTGCTTCTGCTCCGCTCCACGTGGTCATCCCGCTCCGCGTGGAACACTTGACACGTGTGTGCGTTCTCGGGCTTCTTCGTCTCGCCACCAGCGCCAGTCATCAGCGACACAGACCAAATTGGCACTAGTGCCCCTCTGTGTCGTCAAAGGACAACCTTATATTCATATTCAGTAAAATCTTGCAAGAACGGACCTTGTCCTAGCCACGTCCGGGGAAGTCAGACGTTTTATTATGTGGGGCAAAATCTAATTGGCCTATCGCAACCTGTTGGAAGACAGGTTTGCCCTTCAACACTAATATGGAGGTCACCACTCTGGCGCCACCCCTGCCATACAGTATCTTACTGCTCCAATAAATGGTTCCATCCAAAGCTCTTCGGCCGTCATTCGCTGTAGCACGGGAAGACATCAGAGTTCCAACGATAAGTGACGGTTCTTTCATTTTTAAATTATTTATGATGCAACAGAATTATTTCTGCCGTGAGTGCACTTCATTTTTGGTTATTTTCAAATCAATGACTACAAAGGACTATAACAGATAACAAGATTTATTGCATACTAATTTTAATCATTTTTATGGGAATTTGTTCATTGCTTTTTTCATCTTATTTTTTGGCGATTAAATAATTTGTTCTTTTTTCTTTACATAAATGTTTAATTACATATATGTTTTAAAATTACATAGATGTTTTTTGCCCCATAATAATAAGTGTAATATCATATAGCTCAATAATTTTTGTGTTATGTGCGTCAGTCACATACAACTTGCTGCTCCTTCAAATATCAAGCTATCAGAGATTCCTCCATTTTTTGCGCATAATTTTGTTATCTCCTTTGTTTTTTTTTTCATCCCGTCAACACATTGCAGACGATACACATAACAATATATAATTGGATTTGTCTTCTTACGGTTGTTAGGACAGACTGCAAAAATATTTTTAGTTCTTTTTGAAAAAAACAAAGTTACTTCAAATATCTCGTAAAATACAATTGGTAAAATTGAAACGAATATACATATCAATGTTCCCCATTCTCTCATGTACTTACGTGAAAACATATATATATATATATATATATATTTCGGTTCCCGGTGACGTGTCGTCACACAAGCCAATGGCATCATTATTCGGATTCAACTTCCGACTGCGGACTGGAACACTTTCTTGGGAGGTAGTATATTTAACGCAAAGCGCACCTCGATTGGTAAACGGTTAGCTCATCGTCCTTTGACCTTCAGAGCGCAAGTTCGATCCTGGCTGAGATGTGCAGATTTTCGAAGGATGTAAAATACAACGTATCCGTGTACTTTTGCCTAAAAACTATGTCTAAACGAATGGCAAAATCAAATTCTTGTCTTCAAATCTAACATATGTTAAGCCGGTGGATGTTTCACGTAATAGATTGATAGTATTAATATGTTGCTGCGGAGTTTTCAGAGGCATAATATGAATGCTGAGCCGTCGGTGACTTGGTTTGCGTGATCGCTTTCCGCGGCGCAACCCTGGGTTTGATTTCCGGTCTGAGTAAAAAAGAATTGTGCGCTTTCCTTGCAATGTCCCAGTATCTGTTGCTTTGTGATAATAAGAAAGAATACTTCTCACGTTGAGGAGACCAGAATACATCGTAAGAATCACTATGTGCTAACCACACGTACCCCTTAACCCATGGCCGCAAGGCCGGGACTCTGCCGGTGGAACTTAGCTCGTAAAGAAATGTGCAAATGTACATACAATATGAATGTTAAAAATTACTGGTATTTTTGAGAACATTTAGTATGCAATCCAAAAAAACTTACGGGTATTTTCGATGATGTCGGATGTTTCAAAATATTCAGTGAGAATTTGTTTATTTACACCGTCATATATTCGATTGTAATTGATAGTTGTTGCTGAATCTCGATTTAGAAAATCACACTTAACATTAAGTGATGTTTCTGTTCTGATTGTAACAGAAATAACTAGAAAATTCGGTTTTCATGTATCTAATGAATTACACATTATAAAAAGTATTTTCACTATCTGAAAGTTTATTCTATATTTACTCAAAAGTATAAAAGTTAGTATTAGAAAAACGTCGAAAAGTTTGCTTTTGAGGTTAGGAAAGACGTTTATTTTAAAAATTATATTTCTGAAAAAAATGGTTCGTATAATCGTTTTAAATAATTTTTATCCATTATTAGTTGTAGATGCTCTTCACAAATGAGGCTGCAGTCATTAACAATCATTTATTATTATTTAAGTTCAAAAAATAATAAATTCTGCAGATATTATGTATAAAACCTCCTAAAATACATCTTATGCAAATATTTGTTGCAGAAATAAGGCATTTAACAAAATAAGTTAGTATAGATGCCTCTTACGTCTTGCAGTTTAGCATACTTATATTTATTATAACAGTTCTGTTTTTTTATTTAGTGTATTTTTTTCGTTTCAGCAGTACTGAAATTTCTCATTATCAACCACGCAGTCTAACGAGTTCTACAGTCATCCATTAACTCCTGTAGAATTCTCAAACAATGACAGTTTTGAATGGTTCTGAGTAGAACACCACAATTATATGTTGCTCTATTTTGAATTCCACGTCGTTAACTGAGACGTCAAGAGACAATACTTGCATGAGACAATGCCTAATAAAAGAGAACACAGAGGTGCGATCTCCTTAACTGAGCAAGTTGTTCTTTCGCCGGTAGGTCCACCGTGAGAAAGTCAAGTGGGAGAAAGCACGGCGCGTGTGTGCGAAGGAAGGCGGCCACCTGATCATCATCAACTCGGCGGTGGAGGCGGAGGCGGTGGTGGCGGCGAGCCGGATGCCCGAGTGGAGCTGGGCGGGCTTCGACGACTACTCGGCCGAAGGAGACTTCATCACATTGCACGGTACACATTCGTATGTTTAGAGATATTTGGCCCATGGTTTCACAATGAGAGGGGCGTTAGGGAGATGAAATCGTCCTCCACCATTTTCTTTTCCCTTTACCACCTGCAACTTCGCCTGACTCTACTTTTTCGTTTTGGTCTATTGCACTGTCACCTCGTTTTTGTCATCATATGGCCTTTCTCATTGCATCCATTTTTACTTTCTCGTCCCTACTAAGGTACTTCGTAAGAAGAGAAAGTTATGTGACCGTGCGACGGAAAATGGCGAATTATTCATCAGAGAAACTTATTGCGTGGCCCTAGCAACGAAAGAGGTTTTTCGAAAACATGAGTACCTTCCATGTAATATGGCACGAAATATAAACAATTAATTTTTTTCTCAAAACCAGCTTCAAATATTTTCTTTAATTTTTTCCACTGATAGAAGTAGGGATGCTTAAGAGAATGGCGCGGATCTCATTTTCGGAAATTGCAAATTCAGAAATAATGCGAGAGAATACTTCTCCTGTAGCACCACTTGTTTCCTTCTACCATACCTTCTCATGTCTTTATGCCTTCTTTTCTATGAGCTTCGTCCGCGACTAATCATACTTTACCAGTGTTTTTATATCATTGATAATTTTTCAAAATAAAATGGTAACTGTTTATGATGTGTTTTCAACAAACTTGGACAATAGGTATGTCACAATGTGTTTTTATTATTATGGTTCAATATCTTCTAATGCATTTGCTATATTATAAGTGATGTTTTACAATTTTATTGATACAATATCCATCATTTGAATGTAACAACTTTTATCATTTTTTAGAGTTTTGGAAAGGACCCCAGCTAGGATCGAAACTTAAAAAAAGAAATACATTTATTGCACGAAATATTCCAGTGTTTATTTTCATTGAGATTAGAAATCCATTAAAATTGTTGTAATATATATTAAATCCACGTCATTTTCGGGATACTACTAAGAGGGGCATTCAAGATTGAACACTTATTTTACAGCCTGTTTTTACAAAAAATGGACACCACAGTTACTGGCTACTACATTACCAGACTACTATCTTCTCTGACGCTACAATAGCACTGACCGAGTAGGGGCAAAGTGGGGACAAAGAGACGCAAAAATTAGACAAGAAATTAGACATTGAAAAAAGATACTATTTCTTCAAAATGTTTGTGAAATACATGGCATACATAAATGCCTGACAAAATTAACTCACGTACCATGCAATCAATTGTTGATGTATTAAAAAATTGAAGTTATTTCTCTGTACCCTTGAGAATATGACGGACATAAGGAGGCGGCGTTGGTGGGATCAATGAGATTTTGCCATAAATCATAGCTAATATCATAATAAACAAAATCTACTAAAAATAAAGTAGCAGTTCTTTTTTCGTCTTCTAATGCATTGTGAGTTCGGGCAAACACATTTTATCTACCCCTTACCAACGAAAGAAATATCAATATAATATACACACTTCAAATTTATTTATCTTAATTTATTGTATTTGTTAGGAGAAATGCTTCACATTATTTTCAATTACGTTTCTGCAATTTTCAATAGTTTTTTCCGCAACACAGAACTGTGAAAAAATATCTGTCACTGAGCGAGGCTCGAACAACAGAGACAATTCACATCGTTTAACCAACCTCGGCCAGCGGTGTAGTACAGGGAGTAGGCACTCCTTTAATAGTCATAACAGCTTAGTGTTTCATTTATAGTATTATATAGCGGGAAAATTAACAAAATGAAAAAAAAATTGTCTTTGGACAGAAAAAGATTGCAAGTCGGCAGGCGTAATAAATGCGGTAAATATTTTTTGCTGGTTAAAAGAAACAGAGAATAGTAACAAATAGTTACTCTGAGCCAGCCTCGAAACAGAGGCCTTTCTCCCCGAAACGCAGTGCCCAAACTCGTCATTTAAGCACTTCGGCCACCAGAGTTATACAGAGACTTGAAACTTCTATAATAGTCATAAGCGCCGAAAGACAACAATTAATTTGACGGGACATACGGTTTATAAATCCAATAAGAGATGTGAAAAATTGTTCAAAAGTTAAACATTTGAAAATCACATACACCCACTTTCAGTTTATTTATCTTCATTAATAGTATTTGCGATTAGAATTGCTTCCAATGGTTTTCAATAAAGTTTGGAGAATCCTCAATTATTAACTGCGGCAACACAAAATTGTCACAAATAATAACTCCCTGCCAAGACTCGCACCAGCCAACTTTGCCTCCGAAGAGCTGGATCCGTACCAGCCAATTTAGTCACCTCAGCCATCCCGTTAGGACATGGAATGAGTAAATCTATAATAGTAATAAGTCGAGGGCGGTTTCTGTTCCAGCATTACGGAGCAGAGAAATTGAGAAAATGTGAAAAAAAGTGTTTTTATGGCGACAAAATGAAAGCAGCCGTGAAGAGAATGAGCCTTGTCCCAAACGTTAGCCAAGAATAGAGAGATTAGAAAACTAACTAGGGCGAGAATGTTTGCGCCATTTTATAGCACCACTAGTTTATTTATTTATTT